CAATCATTTGATGGGCCAGATCTGGCCCATGGGTCATATTTTGCCTATTCCTGCTCTAATATAAGCATGCAGAGTATTTTGGGGGCTTTTTTGTGTAGTTTGGTATTTCTCCAACTAAACTGTGACAATCTAAAAATACCGTTTTTTTTGTTTTCATAGTGTTTAAACAGCTCACATATTCCATAGCTAATCACACGTGCAATTTCAGTTTTTCCTACTTGGCTCAGTACAATCTTCAGTTTTTCCACTCACTTGCAGTGACTTCAAAGTATCCAAGCAACTTCTTTTAAAATGATTCATATGCCGGCTGGGTAATTTATCCATTGTACCTCCCAGGTTATTTTTTAAAATGGTAGCTACTGAAAAAAAATATGTTCAAGGAAATAAGGCTTGTTTGACTAGTAAAGATTTTAATTGATTTTATTTCCCCTAAGAGAAATAGTCCTTGCTCATGTGAACTTTCCACATAGACGTCCCTTAACAGAAACAATCACTTCTGAAACAAATTTGTTAACTTTTTCTTAGTTAAAAAGGACCTTACTAAAAGCCACTGAAAATCCCATTTACTATCCTGACTCATTATTTAAGAATATTTCAGATCTATATTTTGTGACAGGTTTGTTAATACAGATGTTTGTTTATTATTGTATGGATAGCACTTTCCTTTTAAAAATTATATAATTTGTATTTATTATATGCAATGAATATAGCAGGGGCAGTTTGGACTAAGAAAGTGTTGGGTTGATTGTGACTAAATGACTAGCAATGATATGCTTAGGTCTCGAAGGAGAGTGAAGGCTGTTTACCGGAGAGGTAATTCTTTTTTTTAATTTGCTTTGTGGATTTTCTTTGCCCTCAAGACTAAGAGAATTGCAATTAGAACTTTAAAATGGTGATAGGAAGGATGCTTACATAACTAACCATGCTGAGGAGATACTGATTTTCAAGATCACTTTTGAACTGAACTTGTGTATCATTTCTACTTGGTGGATAGAACCATATTCAAATACCTGATGAGAGAAGAACATATTATTAAAGCTTGCATAACAAAAGACACGTCAAATTTCAGGAGAAATTAAGCCCTGTGCTCATGCTCCAGGTATAAGGGAACAAATTCTGAATCTTTACAGGAAGGAAACTAAGTCTAAAAGAACAGCTCAATATGACAACAGGCTGTCTTTCCAGTTTCTGTCTTTCCAGTACATGTATGCAGTAAATCACATGGAGTTTAATCTCATACTTTTCAGAACAATTCTGAAATACGAGTGCTAAAAATCATGTAATTAAAAAATTGTCAATTAAGTGAGTTGGCATAATGTGATTAGACAGTTTGAATTACACTTTGACTTCGGGGCGGGGAGGGTCTCCAAAAACAATTAAACCTGTTCATTGATTAACAAGTTCACCTAAGTAAAGGAGCAATCCAATTGGAGATCCCCTCCCAGGTTATGATTTTCAAATCTTACAGGTGGGCTCTCATCTCTGGGGGGAGGGGAGGGGGGCTCAGCCTTCCTCCCTCCCTCCAGCTGCCCCTTAATTTGTACCGTGTTTCGAAAAAACATTTTTTTCTTTTTTCCTCACTAATGGCAGTAGATCTTAATGGTATGAAATGAAATGTCAGGGGATAACTCTGTGGCTGTGGGTGTACTAAAGCTATGTTTTTTTTCACCGTGGTTTTGTATGCCTTAAGAAATCTTGCGGTATGTGCTAAGATATCATAACGCATGTGTCCATTCTGTGTATGACTTGACAATCTGACTGGTTATGTCATTAAACAACTTTGGGAGCAGCCTATCTGTCATATATGTAGAAACCACTGTTTTCTGCTCTTTTTCTCCTTATATATTTACATACTTTGTAAATGTTGTGTTTAATTAGTTGATTTGATTTTAATGAGGAAATGGGGTTGTAATTCTGCAGTGGATTTATATACTGATGATGTATAATGTTATTGCACACACAAACATGCACATGAACTTCTTTTCCGATGTGGGAAATATAATGGTTTACAGACCACCAGAGAGATCAGCTACCTTTACATAAGAACTAATGAAGATGCTATCAAGCCATAAGACTTCATGATCTGCGTAGAATATATTTCTTATGCTCTGGCTCACATCTCATGCCTACCACGACAGGTCTAAAATTCAATTAGGTATCTGAGCCTTTACACAGCCATTTGGGAAACATTTTTGTCAAAGTTTAGATATTGTACACCTAATAATTGTACATATAACCTGATTCCAGAAAGATAGGTAGATCCCAAAAGTTGAACTGGAGAGCTGCTCCTCTCCTCTTCCACACACAGAATTTTTGTATCCTATTTTAGTTTTTTCATAGGAGCCTCCCCACAACATTCTTATATCAGGCAAAATGTTAATATAAATGATTAGGATAGTCATCAATGATTGCTAGAACAAGTTGAATTTTTCTGTCAAAGTCACTTGATGGAAAAATGGATTTGGAATTTTTTGCAAAAAAAATAAAATAAAAAAAAGAACAAAATCATCTCTGTTTATGTGTTTTGTGGCAAAATATATATCCTGACCACCTCTAGGTAATGTCTTAACTTGTCATATAATGTTGCTTTTTAAAGGCTATAACTTGCATGTCAATGACAGATAAAATTAATCTTTTTATGTAAAATAGTTTGTAATATTTGACAGGTGTTTTGAAAGCTTTGGATGTAAGTCTATATAAATAGCAATTGCTAGTAAAGGTTTTTTCTTTCTGCATATATAAAGTACAGTATATAAGTTGGCTTATAGTGTTCTTTTAAAGGTGCAATTTTTTAATTGTTTGGTGCCACAAAGTGGTGAAATTCTGTACTGCTATAAGAAAGCAGTTTCTATAAGATTTTTGGCACTTAACTATGAATTTTGTCCATTTCTCCTATATCAGCAATATAGAAAACACTCTTCATCCTCAGAGTGATTCCTTTATGTAAATGGAATAAGAATATCTGGTTTAAGATGCTTTCCTACTAATTTCAAATTTTGTCTCCAATACAAGTGGAGCTGGCCAGACATTTTTGACAAATCAGATATTCATCAATAAATGCCACTTTATCAAAATCAAAATGGCTGAGAAGAACTTTTGATTAGTAGAAACCTGCTTGGTAGACTACTTGGGAACCTGAACTTCTAGTGTCTGCAGTCTGCCCAGGGTTGGAGAGTTTAGGACTTCCAGACTCTGCCCTATGGAACTAATAGCTTACCTGAAGACTGAGGTTGAGCTAGGAGCCTTGTAGATTGGACAGAGTACATTTTATTTTGGATATGTTGTATCAAAACATTCAAATATATTTCAGTATTCCTGCCCAGAGCAGGGGGGGTGGACTCGATCTTTCAAGGTCCCTTCCAGCCTTTAATTTCTATGATTCTATGAAAGGTAGCTTCTGCCTGCCTTTGCTGTTGCTACATCTGCCGAGAGGGCACAACATAACGCCTCCTGATAGCATGGGCACACACAAGAAAATAAAGGTTGGGCGAGACCTCCCAAAATCATCTAGTTCAACCTCCTTCTCAAAGCAGGACCATCCCCAACTAGATCATCCCAGACAAGGCTTTGTCTGCCCCCAATTTAAAAACCTCTAGATGGAAATACTGTACTTCTGGTTGGCAGGTAGCTGTGGGCAATCTTTGGCACCAACAACATTTATAGCTGTACTAGTACGGTTGTGACGGGGCCAGGCAATTGGGTTTATCCCTTGGAGCCATGTGAACATGGCTTCATTAATTAGTTCTGCTGAAAGTCAGAGCCAGTTAGCCACGGTCCAGTGCTGCCTGGCCATGGCCTTGCCAGTTTCAATTTGGGAAATGCCGCGGCCTGCCTTCTGGGCGGGAAGCACTGGAATTGCACTGGCCTGGCCCCGTGCCAACGGTTCGCAATCTTTGGAGGCTCAGGGCAGCCCTCAGAAAAGGCCAGCTCGTAATTTTCACTCATTTTGACTACGGAAAAATACTAGAGCTATTCTTCTGTTGCAAAATGACTCCAAAAGCCCAGAGCAGGGCAGGACAGTTTTAACCCTGTGGATTCCTATTTGAAATCTCCAGGTTGACCTTCTGAACCGTGTCTGCACACTGAGCAGGGCTAACATTGTGGGGCACTCTTGAAAGGCTCGCAGGGTGAACGGTACCCTGCTTGACGCTCAGCACTAGAGTGGCCATTGTAGAGGGCATGCTGGGGTTCTGCTGCTCTGACCTCTATTGATATACGCCTTTATAGCTTCTAGTTTTCCCTGCAAGAGAAGAGGACATAACGGCGTGTGGTTTTGTATCAATAGAGGACAACCGGACTCTCCTCTGTGATGGTCACCCTACTCAGCGCCCTCCACTACACCTAGCTCCATTACAGTGGCCACAGTCCCTGGCACTGGTGTAACAGGATTGGGGTTCAGGCCCTGGCGGGCAATGGAAGGCTGGGTGGGTCCCAGGTTTTGCAACCTCTTCATTAATATTTCCTTCTTTTTTTTAACCACCATCCTTCTCCAGCACTTTTCACTTAGTCTAAGCATGCCCAAGCTGGCAAACATACTGCCCCTTCCTCTAAGCCGGGGCTACCTGAACAGCACCAGTCTCTTGTCATTGTTGGGTGAGGACAAGCCCAGAGGCCCGCCGCCCTTGTGCACACGTCCCCCATCCGCAGAGCGCACGGACGTCACCCTGCTTAGCTTCCAGCCCGTCCTCCCGCGCGTCTCCGCTCCAAGACCCGCCCCTCGTGGCAAAGGGCACCAGCTGCCTCCTGATTGGCGGAGGCGGCTGTCGGTCACTGCCGAGAAGCACCTCCTAAGTCTTGCAAGGTTTGGGACCGCCGCAGCACAAGTCGGGTTCGATCCCCTCCCCCCTCCGAACGCTGCGGGACGCCCCGCCCCCTCCCCCTGCACGTGGGTGCCGCGGGGACACGTGGCCGCGCCGGGGAGCGGCTGGGGGGGGGGGG